CAATTAAGATAAGCAAGTTGAATAGGAAACAGTGTAAAATGTCAAGATTTTCGCTTAGCATTCATAGATGTATAGCAACAGATGAGCTAACTAGTCTAGTTAATCGTAATTTAATTTGTCATATCATTCTAATAAACCGTTTTATAAATAAATTTTCACTTTCTTAAAAACTTAAAACGGTACTACTATGCATGAAAAATACCTTGCGCTAATTATGCAACATGTACAGCTAATCTGCCAAATAATATATAATTTTGTACAACTTCTACAAAATCGATTTTAGGCTCGTTGACGTTTGTGTTCGCTTTCTTATACGCGTACAAAAGAAATACAAAGAATTTCAATAATAAAACATCTACATATATATAAAAACAACACACCATCATAAATTCCATTTATATATTTATTGAAATTTTTATTGTCAAAATTATTGAAACTTTTATAAATTACTGGTTTGATGAAAGTACACCTCATCGTGATCTCTTTGCTTTGGAGCTAAGAATTTTCTTGATTCTTTGTTTAAAATACTTATTATAATAGACATAATATATAATTATTTAAATATATTAAGTGATGTTTCGCAGCGCAAGACTTTCACTAACGAAGAAAAGAGATAGTTTGAATAGATCTCTGAGCAAAAATGGTCTCATAAAAGGAGGTGGAAGTTTAAAGCGTAGTATGACTGCAAAAAAAGCAAAAAGGGATGTTGCTGAATTTGTATCCTTGGAAGAAGTTCATTTAATAGTAAAAAGGTGTGCTGATGAGATAAGAGCAAGAGGTTTGTATTATATTTGCATTTTTTTATTTATTTTATTTTTTTCGTTACCATATCATTTTTTATTTTTTATTTTTTTCTATTTAAGTCTTTTTATGTAATTTAATCCTTGCATTGCATATTTAATAGGTTTACATGAGGTGGATATTTTCAAACCTGCTCGCATAGGCGATAATATAGATGATATCAGACGCCTTATCAGTTGTATGTTACAAGAGGACCGTACCCAGTTTGAGGATGAGGTCAAAGAACAAGATATTCGTAACGTTGTATCAGCAATGAAATGGGCCTTAAGACATAGTTCTACAGCTCTTGTTCCTTATCAATATTATGAAGAATTCGTTAGATATGAACAAGGTAAAAAGAATTTTTCATTTTCATTATGTAAATGTAAATCTATTTTAAAATTTGTTATTTACACATTTCATTTTATTTAATATATAGAGTGGGATTATGATCCAAGCAAAGGCTCCTTTAGGCAATTCCTTTGTTATCTTCCTAAACAGAATCAAGAAATTCTTAAAGAATTATTTGAAGTCTGCTCTCAAGTAACTGCTGAATCTCACATTAATAAAACGTCGGTACAGAAACTAGTAAAGTCTTTAGCCCTTTGCATATTGGGTAATCAAGATACAACTTTACAAAATTTTGATTCGGCTTATACTGAATGGAAAAAATGTTCAAATGCTTGTCTTCACCTTTTTCTTGCTTACCTACGAGAGTTAGACTACTCTTCTCCTGAATCTTTAAATCCACGTTTAACTATATTGTTAGATAATTATGTGGAGTATCGTAAAATGTCTGTTACATCTACTTACTTTGAACATCCTTTACCTGACACTACCGTTATCAATCGGAAACAATCCGTTGTAACATTTGCTCAAACAACTGAAATTACTACTTCAAAAGAAA